TACTGCTTCTCAAATAATTCATATTACGAGATGATAAGCGAGACGTCGTTAACTCCCCTCGAACGAAACGAAGATGCTCAATTATTGACGCACTTTTTGCAAAAATTCATTCGCGCATTTTTTTCAAAAATTCATTCGCGCATTTTTTTCAAAAATTCATTCGCGCATTTTTCGTGCGCGTTCAATAAGCGAAACGTGTATTGTTGGCATTAACGTTCAAATGAAAAGCTCCACCCGAATGACAATGACGCGCTATGTTAAAGCATCTCGTTGCTATATGCGGTGTACATATTTTTAGAAGATTTTATTATAACCTGTGCGTATGAAATTTAAAATACGAGGCAGCACTCATTGGATGAATATTTATCAATCACTCGAGTGTTCTAAATTCAAATAGAAGAGCCCATCCCTCCTAGGAGCTCGAAATTTTATTTCCATCCTTACACGAGCATTTATTTTTAAACCACCAAGTTTATTATCAATTGAATCGGCAAACTCGCCACCTCCGTGATTCTCAGACATTTTCTGTGCCGATCCATGGCCAATTAAAGGAAATAAAATGCAGCGCTAAACAATTGTACCGGGAGAATAGCAAACGATACAGCCTACGCGGATACGTTAAAGCAAGCACACATACATTCATCGGCACTCACAGCGTCCCGACGAGTTGGCGCACACTATAATACAATACCGCACAACGGCTAAAAGCCTCCGTACTTCTCTCCTGACAACTTGCTTTTCTTCTCTTAGCTGCACCAACAAAAAACGCAATCTTATACCGCCACTGGTCGAGAATTGCAAATAATAGAACGTACTTCATAAAGAACAGAGCTCCTCGCGCACGGGACAAATTTTAAATTCATAGCCGAACTGCTATTTTTCCACATTCGCGGAGAAAATCTGAGACGTTGTGTTGAATAAAAGATAGCGCTATAAGCTACTGCAAGTGAGTCCTCGCAATTATGACTGTGCAATTAGATTTTTAACGTAGTCCTCCGATCGATCGCCCCGATAGAACATTTCGATTACATTTATCAATATTATATCACTCGGCTAAAACATGAGCATTGGTTTTGCATTTTATAAGCTCTTTGCCCAGTCGTTGGATCGTTAAGGAAAAATTATAATAATAACATTAAAATGTCCCTAATAATAAAATAACTAATTTTTGAGACATCGAAGATGCGTATAAGCTCCCCTCGTATATTTATCATCGATAATTTTGCGACTATTATTTTGTGAGTATCGGGATAATCAAATGCCACATCTACAGTCATGGACACACACATTTCTACGAGATTACCACTATAAATCATCTTATGTAACTTCAATTAACTTTAAAAAATGTTCTATGTCTCAAAAATACGCCATCCTCGTCAGTTTCCCATGCCCGTACGAATAAAATATATATTATTTATAACATCGGCATTACGCTAATCGCAGCGCAAGAGAAATCAAATCCAAGGAGAATTCTTACCTCCAATGCCACGACTTAATATCAACGTACTCACGGAATCTCAGCCGACAAAATTATTCGGAAAAATTCCTAGGCTCGTCTCGATTTTTCATATAACATTAACACAGCCATCCTTCTTTCGTCCTTAGTTGAAGCTCCACGTTGCACAACTATATCCGTTGCGGCTTTCAATATGCAACGCGTCGATCAAGAGAAAAAAAGAAACTCGGCTGGCACGTTATCGACAAGCAGAAAAAAGCCACAGAGAAAAAAGTTCGGACGACGATCCGACGTGAAAAAGTCGTTGGCCGTTCGACGTACTTCGCAACTGTGCGCCGAAAGCGCCTCCGCTGCCCGTCTAATTCCATTTCGGAGCATCTTTATTTATAGAGAGTGGGGGGGGGGAGGAAGGATAGAGAGCGAGGGACGATCGCCGTGCATATTACAAGTTCTCGATATATATATATATATATATATATATATATATATATATTATTCGATATATGTGAGTGTGTGTGTGTGTGTGTGTATGCGTACGTGCTCGCGCGCGCGAGGGACCGGAAAAGTAGGCGCGCGGTCGCGTGGGCGTCGATGCGAGGCCTGGGGAATTCATTACACGTGTTTACATTTCGATGTCGGCCGAGATGCGGAGCGGTCCGATTAACGTAATTGAGGCTTTGGCGAAAATTGAAAAACTGCGCAGCTTCATTGTGCGCCGGAGTGCTACTTTTCTTTTACTCTTTGCTTCCTTGTTCTTCTATACCAATGCTCTCTCACCGGAACCCGGGGAAGTTTTCTTTTCTCCGTGGACAAAGAGAATCATCAAGACTAATGGCTTTTTGTATTGCAATCGATGTGTTTGGACGCCAGGATTCTCCGTGCGAGTTTCTTACTTTAATACTTGTTTTATTTTTATTTATTTTCATCTAGATACGTCATCGTGTCAAAATATTATGTCTGGCTCTTCCTTTGCAAGAATTATGGCTCGATGATTCCGATTCTTTTTTTCTAATGTTGTGTGTCAAAGCTTGATATATTTTTTTTTTTATTTTTTTTTTTTTTTTGATAAATTGAAGACGCAATTAAGTGCTATTAGATTAAGATTATCGAGCCTTTTAAAACCATTCAAATAATAATAATCATAATCAAATCCATGAATCGCTTGAAATAGTTTAATATAATTGCATTTTTAAGCTTTTTAACGCATTAATGTTTATACAACTATCGGTGCAACAATGTTTTAACGACCCAGAGTTTCCCTTAATTTCCACTAGTTGAAATGTAAATGCAAATGTTTAACATAGAATATGAAAATTATCGCTGGCCAATCAATATAATCGATATATTGATTTGCACTATAAAAAATTCTCTCAATTAATAATGTTATGCTTGTCTATTCATTTTAGTAGTATTAAATATAACTCACCTTTTTACTGGATTTAAAAACGTTACATCTAAAGGAATTTCCACTACCATCACGTGCAATGTAACTAAAGATTTTTAAGTCATGGCTGTCATGTGAAACGTAAAATATCCTGTAGATTGGATGATGCATGAGAACCAGCTTACTTTCATCAAGCCAGTGATGTTTTTTCTGCAACATGGGAAACTACAAGTTCAGTCGTTAAGTAAACAGTCAAAACTATGTAACCGTATACATTATACATTAAACAACGTATTCAAAGACTTTACTGTAAATTAATCTATGTAAAACAGAATTAAATTGTTTGTTAATTTGTACATAAATTTACAATCTAACAAACTTCTTATATTCTATACTCATAAAGCAATTATCATCATATTAATTTTCAATAATTGCTGCATTCAAAATTCAAGAAATTTATATTATTTATTGTTAAAGCGACTTATATCACTTAGAATTATTATTTGGTTAAAACAGAAATAAAGTAATGTGATATCCTCTACGCTACTTCTTAAAGCAATTAATGACGCTATCGTCCTTGATAAATTCAATCAGTTCGAGCTGAGCTTTACAAACCCTACACGTTTTACGTAACAAAAAATCTCATAAAAGCTTTATATTTAATGTATCAATCATCTAAGTGATGAACTCAATGGATCAACATAAAGAAAAAAGTAATTTCAGTAAAAATTCATTACAACTTTGATTTTTCAATGTTATCTTTTTGTTAATTTTTATATATGTTCCAGTTCCTTTCCTGTTATATTTCTAATCATTTCCATCCGTTCATGTTAAAATAATCTTTACTACGTATGAAAAGTTACATGCGAAGGATATAGAACTCGAAACTTGTAATATTACATTCATACAATAATATCGCATATTACCAAGACCATTGATTATACAATAATAATTCATATCGTTTCACCTTTAAAAAGCTCTGTCGTGTAATTGTTTTAATGGCTAGTTATAGTGAAACTAGAATTTCTAAACTCAAGATATTATTAGTTGGTTTTACTTTAAATTCCCCTGACTTATTTGAAAGTATTATTAGCAGGTAAATATTATCGAGCACTTTATAGCTAACAATTCTCTAAATATTTTACAGTAAATAAACTCGTTCCTCGTCAAATTGTTATTATTTTAATATACGTACAGTTTATAAAATTATATTCATCAGTAATCTCATACATAAAATATGTGAGTGTGTGTGTGTGTGTGTGTATGCGTACGTGCTCGCGCGCGCGAGGGACCGGAAAAGTAGGCGCGCGGTCGCGTGGGCGTCGATGCGAGGCCTGGGGAATTCATTACACGTGTTTACATTTCGATGTCGGCCGAGATGCGGAGCGGTCCGATTAACGTAATTGAGGCTTTGGCGAAAATTGAAAAACTGCGCAGCTTCATTGTGCGCCGGAGTGCTACTTTTCTTTTACTCTTTGCTTCCTTGTTCTTCTATACCAATGCTCTCTCACCGGAACCCGGGGAAGTTTTCTTTTCTCCGTGGACAAAGAGAATCATCAAGACTAATGGCTTTTTGTATTGCAATCGATGTGTTTGGACGCCAGGATTCTCCGTGCGAGTTTCTTACTTTAATACTTGTTTTATTTTTATTTATTTTCATCTAGATACGTCATCGTGTCAAAATATTATGTCTGGCTCTTCCTTTGCAAGAATTATGGCTCGATGATTCCGATTCTTTTTTTCTAATGTTGTGTGTCAAAGCTTGATATATTTTTTTTTTTATTTTTTTTTTTTTTTTGATAAATTGAAGACGCAATTAAGTGCTATTAGATTAAGATTATCGAGCCTTTTAAAACCATTCAAATAATAATAATCATAATCAAATCCATGAATCGCTTGAAATAGTTTAATATAATTGCATTTTTAAGCTTTTTAACGCATTAATGTTTATACAACTATCGGTGCAACAATGTTTTAACGACCCAGAGTTTCCCTTAATTTCCACTAGTTGAAATGTAAATGCAAATGTTTAACATAGAATATGAAAATTATCGCTGGCCAATCAATATAATCGATATATTGATTTGCACTATAAAAAATTCTCTCAATTAATAATGTTATGCTTGTCTATTCATTTTAGTAGTATTAAATATAACTCACCTTTTTACTGGATTTAAAAACGTTACATCTAAAGGAATTTCCACTACCATCACGTGCAATGTAACTAAAGATTTTTAAGTCATGGCTGTCATGTGAAACGTAAAATATCCTGTAGATTGGATGATGCATGAGAACCAGCTTACTTTCATCAAGCCAGTGATGTTTTTTCTGCAACATGGGAAACTACAAGTTCAGTCGTTAAGTAAACAGTCAAAACTATGTAACCGTATACATTATACATTAAACAACGTATTCAAAGACTTTACTGTAAATTAATCTATGTAAAACAGAATTAAATTGTTTGTTAATTTGTACATAAATTTACAATCTAACAAACTTCTTATATTCTATACTCATAAAGCAATTATCATCATATTAATTTTCAATAATTGCTGCATTCAAAATTCAAGAAATTTATATTATTTATTGTTAAAGCGACTTATATCACTTAGAATTATTATTTGGTTAAAACAGAAATAAAGTAATGTGATATCCTCTACGCTACTTCTTAAAGCAATTAATGACGCTATCGTCCTTGATAAATTCAATCAGTTCGAGCTGAGCTTTACAAACCCTACACGTTTTACGTAACAAAAAATCTCATAAAAGCTTTATATTTAATGTATCAATCATCTAAGTGATGAACTCAATGGATCAACATAAAGAAAAAAGTAATTTCAGTAAAAATTCATTACAACTTTGATTTTTCAATGTTATCTTTTTGTTAATTTTTATATATGTTCCAGTTCCTTTCCTGTTATATTTCTAATCATTTCCATCCGTTCATGTTAAAATAATCTTTACTACGTATGAAAAGTTACATGCGAAGGATATAGAACTCGAAACTTGTAATATTACATTCATACAATAATATCGCATATTACCAAGACCATTGATTATACAATAATAATTCATATCGTTTCACCTTTAAAAAGCTCTGTCGTGTAATTGTTTTAATGGCTAGTTATAGTGAAACTAGAATTTCTAAACTCAAGATATTATTAGTTGGTTTTACTTTAAATTCCCCTGACTTATTTGAAAGTATTATTAGCAGGTAAATATTATCGAGCACTTTATAGCTAACAATTCTCTAAATATTTTACAGTAAATAAACTCGTTCCTCGTCAAATTGTTATTATTTTAATATACGTACAGTTTATAAAATTATATTCATCAGTAATCTCATACATAAAAAAAAAAAAAAAAAAAAAAAAAAAAAAAATAAAATATTAGTTTCCATAATATTGTTGAAATTATAATAAGAAAATCGCACCATTTTATTTATCATCTTATTACATACAAAGTTGAAAAATGTTATAATACTATTTCATACTACCCATGAGAAATTCATACTTTATTAATTAAATATCTTACGTAAAAAGAAAGCTTCTTCAATTATTGAAAAAAAAAAGTCCTATTCTATCGTAATTTATATGTCAAAATCGATTTTTCAGTTGTATTTACAATTTAAGCTTTAATGTAACTGAATATAAGATATAATTTAAAATCTAAACTACTTGATTCAATATTATAATTCTCATATATTTTTCAACGCTCTAATTGTAATTTTGACAAATGGAAAAACAAAAAGCAGTGTTGTAGAACCACTGTCCAATGCTACAAACACTGAAATTCGAATGAAACTACCACTTTTACGATCATACTATTTTACCGATTGAATACTTAATCGAGTTGCTTGACAAAAAAAGTACTTCAATTTATGCAAAATCCGAATTTACGTACTTTCCGTACTGTTTTTATCCACCTAAATTCATGAATTTTAACATATATTACATTTTAAGTCACCCTATATATATTCTCTTGAAATTTTATAAAATGCTACAGGATTTCATAATGGTGGGACTTTAACATTCTCTAAGGGGTTGTTTCCAGCTAACATACAGTAGAATAAGACTAAAAAGTAATGTTTTCAGTTAAATAAACACATATATTCTTCAGACTGCTAAAAACAAAAACAAAAAAAAAATAAAAATAAAAAAATAACAACAACAACAACAAAAAAATAAAAATATTTTCCGTACAATAAATATGAGTTGTGAAAATAAACCTTTTACAATTTTTTAAATTTTCGCATATTATTTTATACATACGGGGGCTCAAAGATTTAACTAGATGAGGCTTATATATTTCCAAAAGTAGATATGAAAGGTTTCTCTTTGAAAAATTTAATAAATTTGAAAGGTGTGTAAGGTAGAAAGCTATACAATTCCTTCAGATGTTCATAAATATATTTTTCAACGAATGAATTTACTACTTGTCAACATTAATTTTAAAAGAAATATTATCATTATACGTATAATTCATAGCATACGTGTATTTGTTTTTATATTTATTGCATTATCATCTAAAACGTTATTTAATGCAATATTATAGAAGCGTATGATAGAGTAACTAATATATAAAACCTTAAATATACTTGTAATATGTAATAAAATTTTATTTTAGTAAAAAATGAAAGATGTAATTGAATAGATAATAGAATATAAAATAAAATATTACAAGTAGAAACATTTTGTAATTTCGAGTTCATATATGCATGCTGATATACACTTGTGCTTTACAATTCATTTAAATCTATGAAATTTAAAGTTAATTTATATAATTTTTGTATCAAACACACCATTGATACATCGCCTTTGTAATTCTGATTTCAGTAAATATTAAGTCTAAAAAGAGATTTAAAATCTAAAAAGAGATTCTAATTTTGTCTAATAAAGGATTACATATTTTTATATCTTTTTAAATTATTGACATTTAAAGTATTTTTATGAACAATTCCAATCAATTTTGTGCAAAAGTTATATTGTGAGTAACTAAGAGTCGACAAGCATTTCAAGTATTTCGAAAATTTTTGTCATTTTTGTTATTTCAAGACTCTGGGTATTATTTTTGTTTTTTTACTATATTGGTCAGTGTATTCTTAAGTAGCTATTATTATTATTTTTTCAATATATTGGTTAATACCTTATTACGAAATTATTATTTTTTTCCACTTTATATTCGTTCATATTTTGTTAAGCAGCAATTATTATTTTTTCTTCTTCAATATATTAGTCATTATCTCGTTAAGCAGCTGATGACAATTTTCAACTGAATAATTGTAGAAAGGTATGTGTATAATTTAAAACTACACTACATTATGTATGTATATATATATATATGCTGAATATTATTACTTGAAACTAGTAAATCATAGATTAAAATGGTATAAGGTAAAGAGCAGTTTTTACAGACAAAACTTTGACAACTGTATTCTGCAGCTATGATTTCTATCGAGTAATAAAATTCGAATGTATGTGAGAGAAAATGCAAGAAAAAAGTCTCAATAGCATATTATACGTAAATTCCCCGTACCTTCTTCTTCCTGAGTGTGACCTTCAGACCGTCTACGGAGACCTCCAGAGTCACTTTCTTCTTCTTAATCCCCTTAGCCTTGAACTCGTACTGCAAAAAGCAAGTAGGAGCTGGGAGTAAAATACGGCAAAAGTCGAATAGACAGAGAGACAGAGATATATAGAGAGAGAGAGATAGATAGAGAGATAGATAGAGAGATAGAGAGAGATAGATAGAGAGATAGAGAGAGATAGAGAGAGAGAGAGAGAGAGAGAGATAGAGTGAGAAGGAGCGATGGGGGGCGGGGTAGATAGAAGGGGTTGTGGTGGGGCAGCAGTACAGCGCTGAAACTCGTTTTATCGTTCGAGCGTCGTATTATTATACTTACGCGGATTCTTCGCATCGCCGCCACGATCTCCATTCGGCTGGTGGGTCGTGGAACCTCCATGGAGCCAATGAACTGCAACATCAATAAATGCGCCAGCGCTCACAAAAATGAATGAATTTAGCTGTTGAGGTGCGCGTATTCAAGTGCGAGTTGCATTATTAAGCGGGCGTGAGCTCCGCAACGGAAATGTTATTCGCTCCACTTAGGTAATTAATAAATTGTTAATTATTCGCGATTTACAGGGCCTAGTATAATTGTCGAAACATTCGCGCGATTAATGAGCTGTAATTTCGATTATTGTACGGTCGATTGCTCCTATTGCTGGTTAAATAGTATTTGATCTGTGCATGGAATTCAAAAGAAGGTGGCACGATTGAGGTAATGACGCTGCTTGATTATTTGTATTCTTCATTAGGACGAGGCCAGAAAAAGGGATGAGTTTATTGCCAAGCGTTTTTATTAGGATTAAACAAAACAAGGTCATGTTCGGATTTCGCTATTAATTGAAATAAACAAAAAGAAAGAGAAATTTTTAGATGTGTAATGGCAAAAAGTTCAAAGAAGAAGAAGAAGAAGAAGAAGAAGAAGAAGAAGATGATGATGATGATGATGAAGAAGAAGTAAAGCTGATTAATTGATAATCAATTTTTTAAATCTAAGGAAATGTAATTAATACGTAGCAATATTTTTTATTGCTTATAATAATAAATATTAAAAAAGTCCAGCAAACTGTATTAATTGGATTTGTTAATCATGACAAAAGTCGCTTATAATATTCTTTAGTATTTTTTATTTTTCAAAAACAGTAATTGCAGAGAAAATTATTGTTTGTATTTATTAGAATATTTAGAAAATTATTACATTAATTTCATTGGGTATTTCAATTTTTAACACTGAACACTGAAATTCAAATATATATTAAGTTCAGTAGAAATATATATATAATGTAATATTCAATTGAATATTTTTATCTCTTTAAGAATTACTTTTCATTAACATTAAACAAATTCAATGTATTTTCTACAAATATTTCGTCACAGAATGTAATTTTTTAATATATTAACGATTATAATTGACTATAAATTTATTGAATATAACAACAACACGTGAATACCGCACTTTCTTCGTTGAAAATCTATTTCTACATAAAACTTTTTTTAATATATAATAACTTTTGAAATAACATGTCGATGAAATAACGGCGAATTCTTTACAATTACAGATATTTAATAATTATTGAAACAATTCCATTTTAATATATTTTTGAATTGTAAAATGCGTAAGAAGCGCGAAGGATACATAGTCTTGTAGATTTTCATGCTTAATCATTACGTATAAATGTAAGGAAATAAAAAATCATTTAAGAAAATCTGAAAAATTATAGTCAACAAGTATTTAATATGCATAATATTAAAAGAGGAGAACATTTCATTTAAAATGACAACATTTAACATTTGTTTTATTTGTCACAAATATTTCAATTGTAAAATATAAATGAATTTAAACATTGGAAAATCAATTATCTGACTATTAATTACTTAATAAATCAACAATATTCCATATTAGATTTCTTTAAGAATCTAAAACACACACACACACACACACACACACACACACACACACACATATATATATATATATATATATAGAATAAATATTAATAAATTTGATTGATAATTCGACTGTTCAGTAATAATTATAATATTATTTAAATTGGCATTAAAAATAGCATCCAACGTTAACTTAAATGTATTTTATCATTAATTGCTCCATAATATCGAGATACAATCGTAAGTGATGGTAGAAATCAATTTTAAATGTTAAAAATAGATGTCTTTTTATTTTATGGACTCGTTAATTTAATTCTCTCGATTGTTCGCGAAAATGAAGGTCTATTGTATATCTAACTATAAGCAAGCCTTCGTAATTAAAATACGAACGATTAATTTATTTACGGATGAAGTAAAATTGTTTTTATTATTCATTAAATTCCATATTATTTTCGTAAATGAATTACTGTTAACTACTCGATTACTAACTACGAGCCATTCGATATATCTACAGGCGAAATAATAATTGAAAATGAAACTCACATTAAGTACTTAAAGCTTGATATTATTAAACTATATTTAACAATTGCATGCCACATGCATGTAATGAAGAACGTAACATACTATAATATTTAAATAAGCAATCAAATAATTGGAGAGCTACTTTAGCAGAAATATATCACTAATTCGAGGGAATATACATTTTTTTTTCACTATGAGAATATAATTCCAAAAGTCTTCAACACTAGTTGATGTAAAGGTGATAAACTCGCTTTTAGCCATAGTTAAAGTTTCGACTCAATCGGCCTATCCAGCCAATCGTACAAAACTTCTTCAAAATACTTCTTTTGCAACAATGGAACATTCAAGAAGCATTTATAGAAATGCTCAAAGAATGCTGTGATGTCCGCTTTGAGTTACCTAAGCATTCATTTAAACTATTGGAACGAAAGCCAAGTTAAGCCACCAGGAGCACTTCTCTTCAAGCAAAATAGTGGCAATTTGTTGGGGTTTGGGGGAGGAGTAGGCGGGGACGGAGGAGGCGGTAAATATCTTTTAGATACTTCTCGACCGTTTGCAAACTCTTGCAAAATAGCCATAAAGTATTCCCGAGCTACTGTCGTTTACTCTATGCTTTTCCCCAACTACGACCTTCACAACATTACACATGATTTGTCTCTAGAAAGGTCAGGCGAGTGTCTTTAAAAAATTATAGGACGAGGACGATATACGGTGAGATGGACGCAAAAGGAATCGAAATTAAGAGAGCGGAAAGGTTCAATGTGCGGTTACAGATATGCGTGTGTCTGCGCGCAGATCTTCTTCCGTAAAGCAGTCACGTATAGACAGACGTACACAGAGTCGATAGACTTGAAGAAGGAGTAAGCCAGAGCGGAGCCAGACGGGCGAGCGGCGCCGTCGTTCGGTCAGGTTGTAGAAAGGAGAGAGAAGGAAGGAAGGAAGAACGGATGGAGAGGGAGACGATAGACTGAGAACGAAAGAGAAAGAAAGAGAGAGAGAGAGAGAGAGAGACAGAATATATTAACCGACGAACGGACGGACGGCTAAAGAGAGAGAGAGAGAGAGAGAGAGAGAGAGAGAGAGAGAGAGAGAAGGGCAGACTTTGGCGAAATTACAGAGAGAACAATGGGTATATATGTTATGGGTGCAGGAGCGATGCATATAGGGTGTTGCTGCCGCTGTTACTACGACCAAAGAACTTGAACTGAGAAAGAGATATAGCGAATGAGAGACCGCGAGACGGATAATTTACAAGGACGGCGAACTGCACGTGGCCGAGGAGATTAAATAATTAATTTAAGCATGGCAATTTTGTTGCGAAGAAGGATACGTGTAACTGTTAGGTAACGGTTCTGAGGACTTAGGCTCGGCGATAAAATGCTGTATTGTATGATTGTATGCTCTGTCGGGAAAACACGTGGCGCGTTTTCCATCTCCATTTGTGTGTCTCGCCCCTATGCCATTTGTAGTTGGATAATCGTTTATTACCGAAAGGAGGCCTATATACGTGAAAAGTTATTATTTTCGCATGGTACATTCGAATTCCACGTAATGTGTATGTTTGTAAAATTCTGTAGGGAATAATTCAGAATAATAGACACGACGCGATAAAAATCGATCGAGGATAGAAAAAAAAAGAATGAAACAAAAAAAAAACGAAAAAGAATAACAGACAGTACATTTGTAGCGATGGTAATGATTACACATCGACACTTTTTTCATAAGCTCAGTCTATTTAAGTAATTAATTCAATAAGGAAGAAAAATCTAATGAAATAGTTATGAAACGTGACGCGAAATTCTTATGTTATTAAATAGCTCCTATTAACCCAAAAGCAATATATTGCTCTCTCGTTTTACCTCTTGGATTATACTAATATAATGTAGATACTATCTCTATCAAGATTCTGTGAATATCATCATATACAGAAATGTAATAGATAAGAGAGAGAGAGAGAGAGAGAGAGAGAGAGAGAGAGAGAGCGACAGATAAGAAGCCAAAGCAGTGAAATTCAGATCAGTGGCAATGAATGAATAAAAAGAAAAGAAAGAAAGCAGCATGTTTAGATGAACAAAAATATTTTTATTTTTTTTTTTTTTCAACGAGAAATGATTATATTATATTCCGAAAGAAATTTTAAGTATTAAATCACATGGAGTTTGGCGTGTATAATTATTTTGAAAGTTTAAAATGCCTTTCAATAAAAAGCATCGATAAAAATAATTCAAAAACTTGAAAGAAGAACTTAAAAAACGATGATGGGATTGCGGATACTTTACACTATAATAACAAACTCAGTAATGAAAATAGGACGATGTACTTGCAATTACAACTTATTCGACAGTCTGAAATTTGACTTTGAAACTAACTACTCTTGAAATTATAAAGATTATAAAGTCTATGTAAAGTTTGACGTAAATGTAAATATGTAAATTCAGGTACGAAATTAATCAATACTGCGATGAAATATACTTTGTGGCTTAGTCTGAAGAAAAAGAAAAACAATCAATTTTATCGGTATTACGCATTGCGCGAAATAAGCATCGATATTACGATATATACATGATTAACAGTAATAAAACACATTGGGCGTCCAAGTAACGACGTATCCGGAAAATCTGCCAATATTTCGCCACGATAATGTTGCTCGAACACATGCACGCCGAGGAACAGGATGAGTCAGATCGTAAAAAAAAAAGGACGAGGCAAATAATAGCGGAAGGAGGAAAGATGTGAAAGAGAGCGCGACGACGCACTCGTAGAGATATGCGGCTCATTGTGCACTTGTGCATTCTCTGCCTGCTGCATCCTTATGGCACATCTAAAATTGAATTCTTATATGCAGTCCGAGGGGAAAGCTTAATTTTGGAAAAGGAAACCAAGATAGCGGGGTGTGTGGGGGGGGGAATAAACAGCAAGCCTTCGAGTTTAGAAATCTCGAGGAATAATGACGGGGGGGGGGGGGAAATTGGAGAATACGAGGCACCAAGATAGGGGAAAAATCCGAAATGATAAGCAAAGGGGCTTGTTACGCGCAATGTATAAGCCGTAATTTTCCCAACTCCTCGCTTTTCCAAATTGAAGGACGTATCCGTCTACAACGCCCTTTCGCCTTTCTCGAAATACAATATCCACATATTTTATATCCTCCATCCGGGCGCATCGCTCCCATCAATATTTTCAACATATCTCCATGCTGAAGTCGATAGGAGCTTTTAAGCTCCGCCTAGTGTCAAAAGTTTCAATATCGTAAGAAAAGGTAATAACGACCGGACGTATAAACGGTCGCGATAACGTCCCGATTTGAATAGCCTCGGCACCCGGCGTCATCCGCACATGCACATCCGCGTCCGGATGAGCGGCGGCAAATAAAGTCTGCGCGCGTATGCGTACCCACCTTGGCGTGGAAGACGATTCCACGATGGAAGGCCTCCTCGCTGTGCAGTGGTATCCGCGTGTCGTACTCGTCATTGTGCACGAGGTTGTACTGCTTCTTCGAGGGCATGCTTCCTGGCCCGGCTTCATCCGACTCCTGTGCCCGCCGTCGCTCGCCGCTTCCGCTGCAACCCAAAAAAGAAGGGGTGACGCATGAGAGGAGTAAGTAAGGGAGGAAGTCGGTAAGAGCCTTGGCTCGCGCGCGCCCACTTCTTTCCTGGCAATCTTGGGTTGGCTGC